ATTTCGTCATAGTGGCATCCAGGAGAGAATGAAGCTCTTCCGAGTTCAAATGCTCCTGGTCTGTCACATCAGTGACAGTTAAGCCAGAAGGTCTGGGGACAACCTGGGGAGCAGGGGGTATATTATCCCTAATGGGAGAATCGCCAGAGGCTATGCCCAAATCCCTAAGAGACTGCATAATTAAATAGCACTTCTCACGGGGGTTGTGGTAGGTGAAAATATAAATTGGTATACAAAGAAAAAAAGGGGGTGGGGACCCAAATAACTATTGGAGTAATGAGTGACCACACTGGCAATCTGGGTATTAATAATGCACCAGCAGTATGGGTACAATATACCAAAGGTAATAGAAAAAACTAGACAGCAATATGAAAAAGGCAAGCTCACCAAGTGTTCCCTCAGGAATGGCTCCTGGGGACACTGGTGAGCTGCCCAGCAACTGTGCTGTCCAATCAGCACTCACTCCCACCCCTACAAGCTCCAAAAAGCCCGGGAACAAAAACGCGGCAATAAACGCCAACCGCAAGATGGCCGCCGCGATGTGCACTAGCATTGTGCACATGCGCGAACGGCGCCAGCCGCGGTTATAGCCGCGAACTGGGGAGCCCAGAGGAAAACCTCTGAGGCACTAAACTAGACTGGGCGGTAAGAGCCTCCACACGGAGAGCTGCTAGCTGCCCTAGCTCAGTAGGTGATAATCCACCTGACTGAGTAAAAGATGGGAGGGGAGGGAGGGTTGAGGGATTGGCTCTAGGTTAGGAACAACCAAGAGCCAGCTGCAAAACAAAGTGCAGAAGCAGGGCAGAAGCCCTGCAGCAAACAGAAATAAACAAATGAAAATTCAAATACAATATCAAAACCAATAAATATGACAAACACATTGGTAGCATACAGAGAAAAATATAAATGTACTTAGCTGAGGAAGGCAGCAGCAAGAAAGAGGAGTGGCTTAAGGTCACATGGGGAGTTGATGGTGCTGAAGGCATTATGATTGGTTGATTGTTATAGGATTAACCCTTTGGGGCATGTTTACATGTTTGATTTGTTTCTCTAAAATAATTTTTTCTAAAATAATTTTTTTGCTGCTGAGGAATAAAAGAAAGAGAATAAGCATAATATGAGCCTCTGTGTCCCTACTGCTTGTCTAGTTTCAAGTTCAGAGATTCTTCTCCTAACCTGTATCAGGTCCTCTCTGACGTCTTCAATAATGATAAGCATAAGATCCAATGAACATTTGTTCATTTGTTCAAAACTGAGATCCAACGCTTACAGACCTGTGGCTTTAATCTACCAATCGTAGGAATATTCTTAACACGAAAACCCCTTGGGATTTGCAGCTTCAGGTGATATTCAGATAAAAAGAGGCCGTGTAGATCTAAATCAGTCTCACGTTTCCTTAATCTCAATAATTCAAAGTATATGTCCCTAAGGGACTTAGTATTAGGTAATTCAGATGTGGATGCTGCCCACCGTATCCTATCCGCATCCTCTTCACTGTATTGCCATGTCTCTGCCTGTTCTGATAAGCCCCCAGCCAATGTGAAAAAATCTTCCATAGATGAAAAAAATAGTAAATTGAATCCAATGTATATAGGTATACACAGGTATACACAGGTATATAGGTATACCAAAGTAATTATCAAAATATACAAAAGTAATCAGGGAAAAAAAGACCCCCAAATTAGGGTGCATTGAAAGCCAGCTCAAGCCACTGAGCCATAAATACAACAAGAAAAATAATCCTGCACTCCATATAATTAGAATATACTTGCCCGGTGCTTGTCAAGCAAAATGTAAAGATGAATCCAGATAGCACTCTCAGGACTGTTGAATCAAATAAAACCTAGCTTTTAATGAGCTTATAAAAAAGAATTGACGTTTCAGTCTGTTAAATACAGACTTTCATGAGGACTAACAAATACAGTAACTCACATATATACCCAAATACATATTAACAATCAACTTACCCACCACCGGAATAATTGCCTCTCCCTGTCAGCCCTGTCCGGATCTCGCGCGTGTTCGGCCGCCGTCAGTGCGTGCGTCCATGACGTCATTACGCAGCGCCGGCGTCACTACCTCATCATGCGAGCGGCCGATCGTTCTGATTCCTAGCCTTTGTGTTATGTTTTAGACATAGGTTGCTATGGAGACTCTGCTCTGCTAGTCTTCAATCCTTTAAGAAGTCCCTCAACACCCATAACTTCAGGAAATCGTATGGCCTCCCAGATTAACCTCTCTCACAAACCTGTCCTTGCTATCTCCTAAAGGGCCACACTCCACTATCAAATCCAGTTCTGCTCCATTCCTACCTTGTTGTTTGGTTACTATCCCCCTCGATGCCCCTCCTATTGTATTTTTATACTCCACCTCCTCTAAACTGTAAGCTTGTTTGAGCAGCGTTCTCAACCTATTGTTTCTGTAGCATTTTATTATTGTCTAATTATTGTTAAATTTCCCACTTTTTCTAATATTGTAAAGTACTGCAAAATTAGTTGGCACTCTATAAATGCCAATGATAATAAGAATTACACTGAATGAGATGGTGGCATGATTGGACTCCAGACAATTTAACATCTTAAATAAGATCACAAGTGCAGATTTTTCACTCTGTTTTAGATATAACGCCAACGAAAAAAAAGCATAATTAAACGCATGTCTTTTCATTGTAGATATATCTACTAAATATATGGGATTTTTTATTTTATTTTTGTATTTAGGCAGTGGAGTGTGCCTTTAAGTATTTTGGACTTATTTGTTTTTTATTAGAAATTTTGTCACAGCTCCACCTACTGTTGGAGACTAATGTTGCTTCTCTAACATAACACCACAAAGCTTTTATTTTAGCACTTAATACAATGCAACATAAGGGAACATTAAGTCCATACCACAGCTCAGCATCTTTGAAGATTTATTTCACGTATTCTCTTTCCCTTCTGTTGTCAAAAATGTACACTTCATGATTTTGATAGTTTTCCTGGTATGTTTCATCTATTAGTATAATACCAGTTGTCCTGCCTGCATCCTGAGGACCAGATATAAACTATCATTTTTAAAACAACCACATACATACATCCCAATATTTATACTTTGTCATGGAATATGGCTTTCTGAACTGTAGAAAGCTGCCCAGGACGTACTCAGTATATACTTACAGAGCTGATGGTTAATGCTCCAACCGTATTGCTTGTTCTATCCTCATTGCAGTTGTAATTCTTAGCCTGACCAGCTTAGGCTTTTATATAGACCTAAGTTTAGTAAAATGAGTATGATCTCTTTAGTAATTAGTCTTGTGCACAGTAAAGAGATTTGGTTAATTTAAATTGATTTGTCTGACCGAAAAATAAATGTTTTAGGTAATTAGGGTTTCATCAATGTGGTGTCTTAGTTCAGATAAATTTCGCCCGCGTGATCATTTCAGAAAAAAATTATTTAGACAAAACAAAATGATGGGAAAATTGGCTAATCAGCATACCGCAAAATATAAATATTACAAACATAGTTTGCAGTACACTGATGAAAGCATTTTTGCACATTCGGTTCACAGATCAAGTAAGAAGAAGTAACCAACAGAGGGAAAAGGGAAGGATCAGTAAAAAAGAAATATATATATATATTTATAGATTTGTATATTTCTGAAATATATAATATATAAATATATACATATATATTTGTTTTACTGAAAAAAAAAATCATCATCTAGTTGCTGTCTCCTAAACATTAACCCTTTAAAGCAGCACTGTCGTGTCGAACTTACCGTTCCCCAATCGATTCCTCTTCTCTCCCTCTGTCAGGATCTGTTCTTCATTTCTTCCTGTCTAGTTCCTCCTCTAGTTTTCTTTAAAACATAAGACAAAGTAGGGACTATTTGTCTTATTGAGGTTTCCTACGCCTGACCATCTCTGACCAGCGGAAGAGCAAAGTGTGCTTCATTTCCGGTGGTCAGAGAAATTTCCCCACAATTCTATGCTTTCCTCTCTGTTCCCGCAATGCTTCCTGTCATTATTCCCGAACGTCTTGTCACTTAGACAGAACGCCGGCAAAACTGTCGAATTGCATCCTAACAGAATGAGAACAGTTGTTCATTCGTGTTTGGATGCAATTCGGGACTTTGTTTGTATCGGAATTCCATTCTAATGAATGAAACTCTGATCTAATTCGTGCCGCGGCTGCATCTTTCAGCCGCTTAGTAGATAACTCCCTAATTCTCACGGTATTAGGGAGCTATCTACCAAAAGGCTGAAAGACCTAAATTGGTCTTTCAGCCACATTAACTAATAGTGATGTCCCGAACGGTTCGCCGAACGGTTTGCGAACGGTTCGCCACGGACTCATCATTGAGTAAACTTTGACCCTGTACCTCACAGTCAGCAGACACATTCCAGCCAATCAGCAGCAGACCCTCCCTCCCAGACCCTCCTACCTCCTGGACAGCTCTCTAAGAATGCAGCTTCACAATGAATGAAAAATGGATGCTGTCCAGGAGGTGGGAAAGTCTGGGAGGGAGGGTCTGCTGCTGATTGGCTGGAATGTGTCTGCTGACTGTGAGGTACAGGGTCAAAGTTTACTCAATGATGAGTCCGCGGTGAACCGTTCGTGGCGAACCGTTCGTGAACCGTTTGGTGAACCGTTCGGGACATCACTATTTACTAATACTAAGTAAAGATTACTTAGTATTAGTAAATTCTGCCCCTACTCGCTATATCGCGAGTAGGGGCATGTCTATTAAACAGTGAGCAGCCACAGGCAACTGCAACAACAGGCTGCAACCACAGGCTGCTCACTGTTTAGTAGACATGCCCCTACTCGCAGTATAGCGAGTAGGGGCATTCGGGAGATTTTAATCATTTTGACCCCCATAGAGTGAGGGAGGACATGGGTGGCTTAGGAAGTGGCAGGGAGCTTCTATCTTTACATTTTACAAGGAGGGAGCTGCATGCCGGTAGCTCCCTCCTTGTAATAAACTGAACGAACAAACAAACACTTATATTCAGTGTTTGTTTGTTCGTCTGACATTTCTATTCATTCATTCGTCTTTCTGACTATGAAATAGATGAAATTGCCATTCACATGCCCAAGTGTTTAACTGGGCATGCATGGGAATCTCACAGCGCTATCTAGTTTGGGCAGATGACGTGTCACACAGGGCCTTCACCTACCCACACAAAGATGGCGGCGCCCAGAACATAATAAAGTTTAAAAAATAGGTAATATAGAGAGCTTAGGGGCATTTGGCTGTGACTAGGGGGTCAGTTAGATGTCGTGGAGTCAGGAGGGGGTTAAAAAAAACGGGATTTGGCCATGACAGTGCCGCTTTAAGGACGGTGGACGTTCTATGCTGTCCTTTTTAGGGTGGCTCTAAACGCCGGCAGGCTCCGTCCTAAGTACTTACCCAATTGCCACCGTTCCCCTGCCAACGATCGGCATTCCTCCAGGTCTGGGGGGACTGCCTGACAGTCTAGACAGTCCCCCCTCAGCAAATTAGGCCCCCGCGGGCTATGTGATCGCTCTGAAAGAGCAGTCACATGGCCGCAATAGGCATCCATTATTTTGTTATTAAATCTAAATATAATTTTTTTATATCTATCTATCTATCTATCTATCTATCTATATATATATATATATATATATATATATATATATATATAAAAATAAATATATATATATAAATAAATAAAAATTATATATATATATATATATATATATATATATACACATATATACACTATATATATATATATATATATATATATATATATATATATATATATATATATATATATATATATATATATATATATATATATATATATATATACACATCCATATACATAATTACATATATAATTTCATAAATATACTGTTTTACTCGGGAGATTTCACTGACCACAAATATTAGTGTTTCAAAACAGTAAAACATATCACAGCGATGATATTGTCAGTGAAAGTGAAGATTTTTGCATTTTTCACACACAAATAGCACTTTTACTGATGATATCATTGTTGTAATACATTTTACTATTTTGAAACACTAATATTTGTGTTCAGTGAAGTCTCCCGAGTATAACAGTAACCCCCATGTACAGGTTTTATAGTGTATTTGAAAGTTAAAGGGTCAAAAATAAGGCTTTCTTTTCTGTTTTTGAAATTTGCCAGATTGGTTACATTGCCTTTGAGAGCATATGGTAGCTCAAGAATGACAGTTACACCCATGCTCGCTTACTATTTGCAAAAGAAGACAACCCAAGGTATTGGAAATGGGTATGTTCAGTCTTTTTTAGTAGCCACTTAGTCACAAACACTGGACAAAGATAATCATAATTGTTTTTTTGCATTTTTAACACACAAACAAATATAAATGCTAACTTTGCCAGTGTTTGTGACTAAGTGGCTACTAAAAACGGCTGGACATACCCCATGTTGAATACCCTGAGTTGTCTACTTTTGCAAATGGTATGCCATCATGGGGGTTATTCTCACTCCTGGGCTACCATATGGTCTCAAAGGCAACATAACTAGTCTGGCAAATTTCAATGTGTTGAAACAAAAAAATTAAACATGCTATATTTGAGGGATACTGTTGTACTCATGTATATAGGGGGGTACTGTTGTACTCATGATACTTTGCTGAAAACAAATATGTGTATTTTATTGCAGTAAAAGCTATCAGTATTATGACAGTCACAGTTAAAATGCCTTGAACTATGAACTAAAAAAAAAAAAGAATCTTAATTTCTCACACGTTTTTACTTAGTTACATAGTTACATAGCTGAAAAGAGACTTGCGTCCATCAAGTTCAGCCTTCCTCACATTTGTTTTTTGCTGTTGATCCAAAAGAAGGCAAAAAAAACCAGTCTGAAGCACTTCCAATTTCGCAACAAGCTAGGAAAAAAAATCCTTCTTTACCCCAGAATGGCAGTCAGATTTATCTTTGGATCAAGCAATTATTACCCCACATTGAGAGATTATATCCTTGAATATTCTGCTTTTGCAAGTATGCATCTAGTAGCTGTTTGAACATCTGTATGGACTGCGATAAAACCACTTCTTCAGGCAGAGAATTCCACATTCTGATTGTTCTTACAGTAAAAAAACCTTTCCTTTGCCTTAGACGAAATCTTCTTTCTTCCAATCTAAACGCATGACCTTATGTCCTATGTAAAGTCCGGTTTGTGAATAGATTTCCACACAATGGTTTGTATTGGCCCCGAATATATTTGTATAATGTTATCATATCCCCTCTCAGGCAACGTTTTTCTAAACTAAATAGGTTTAAATTTGTTACCCTTTCTTCATAGCTGATATGTTCCATTCCTTTTATTATTTTTTTAGCCCGCCTTTGCACTTTTTCTAGTGCCATAATATCCTTCTTTAGAACAGGTGCCCAAAATTGCGCAGCATATTCAATATGTGGTCTTACCAGTGATTTATAAAGAGGCACAATTATATTCTCGTCTAGAGAATGAATGCCCTTTTTTCATTTTAGATTTTATTCGTAATGAATTATATTTCATATATGAATAGTTCATGTGAAATGAAAGCGCTGTTTCTCCTGAACAAAATGATATATAATAAGTGTGGTTGCACATAATATGAAAGAGGTGAATTACGCCTGAACAGACATATAGCGCAAATTCCAGTTTTTGGTTACGTTTTGTTTTGATCACAACGTGTACAACTGGCTCAGTCCTTAAAGGGTTAATCATCTATTTTTCCATCAATCATTGGATAAAACTCAGATTCACAAATCAAATTAAGCAGTTTGGTGCAGGGTCCATTTAGTTTGTTATGGAATTCATGCAAATAACATTGCAGTTTAGAATTTGGAGAGTGTGTACTAATTGCCACTGAGAACACTTGGTGAAAAATGTATAGAAGAGATTAAATTGGTAAATCAGTTTAAGTAAAGTACGGAGTTTACGTAATAATAAATATTGCCATTTTAGGCAAGCTAGCCTATGTTACACATTCTATTTTTTCACACTGTTGTATATGAAAACTATACGCTAAGACAATTTTGAAAAAAAGTACAATACGCTACGTTATTGTTTTTGTTTCTCTAACAAATGTACAATTTATCATATAGTATGGGATTTCTAAAAGGAATTATTGTATTCAAAATTTTCGAATTTTTCATATTGGTGAAATCCCCTTCTGCAGGTATATGGATATGTATGTCAAAATGTGTGTACATGAGTGCTTATGTGCATTTTTAGTAAACCATTTACTTGCCACCTAAATCATAAGCAAAACCCATAGTAATGCCATGTGGAATTTAAATATGCCACAAAATGTGTGGTAATTGATTTTGTAAACTGATAAAAAAAAGCTATTTTCTAATCCAGCTTCTCCTTTTCCTACCTACAAGCACAGACATTATTCTAGATTTAGATTTTCGCTCAGGATGGCAGTGTGTCAATACGATTTATTCAAACTTTCCCTTTTTTGCCACCTCCACTGGAATGTCTTCCCATGCATTTCCTATTTTCTGAAAGTAGTATTGCCTTGATTTTTTTTTCTACATGGTAACTCTTGTTTTTTTTAAATCAAACAATACATACTCAGGACTTTCATTAAAAGGGTTTGTGCTTCTTTCATAACACCCTTGATGCTGTATATTGAACAAAGTGCCACTAACACTAGCAATGACCTGTCTTTCACGTGCCAACAGTTAGTAGGCATATGGTACTGGCATTTAGCCTGGGTCTGGAGCCAGATTTACCATCTGATGCTTAGAAACTGTTCCCAGCACCATTAGCTTTATTTGCAGAGAAATATCAACAAAGGGCCAGCGCAGTTGGCATTGGCTGGCACACAGCAAACAGCTACTGAGTGCCAATGGATAGCAAGTACACTAATGCCAATGCAGGAAGAAGTATTCGCAAAGCAACATCACACTGGAAGGCCAAGAAGGTGTTAACAGTGCCAGCCAGAGAACAGGTGTTGGAACTAATGATAGTTCATTTAAACCTAACAAAATATCAATGCTGCTCAGCAAAAAGTGAGCTTAACTTTGCCCTAATGCATTCTGAAAATTCCAGGTTCTTTTGGGGCATATTTGCAAAGCATAACAGAAAGGCAAATCCTGTTTGAGCAAATGTTTTATTCCCACACATGATGTTTAATGCTGTTGTAGTCCTTTTAGTCACGTATTACTAGGAGTTGCACAATAATGCATCTAAAACCGAAACAAGGGACAGTGTAAACAAAACAATAATTTCCTCCAGTTTCACGTTTTGGAAAGCAGGAGATGTTGATTCTGCAAGGAGCTGTAATAAAATAAGTTTCAGATCAATAAAGTGTTAGCGGCTAATTGCTCTCCTACAGACATCCCCAGCCTTTTACCTCAGATTCAGCACATTTTAACTCTCGCTGGGCTGGATCAGCAATGCAGTCTTGACAACCCATCTGTTAGAATAGCATAAAGCAAGGATGGACATAGGCTAGATACCCAACTGTTGTAGAACTACAATCCCCTGGAGGTTTTGCTAACCTTACGGCTTGCAAAGCATCATGGGAGCTGAAGTTCTACAAATTCTG